GTGGGTGGGAGAAACCAACTTAGCCTGGAGGCACATCCATAATCCAGTTTGCATCCATTCTGTAAGAGAGGTGACCATTTTGTAAGTTTTTTAAATTTTATGTTCAATATATAAAGTCATCTTTTTTTTTTTTTAAATTTAGAATGGGTCTAAAAACTAGTACATATATAAAGTGTTCTGTACAGATAGATATCCCTGCCGAGAGGGAAAGGACCCTGTGTTGATGGGGGGTTGGGGGTGGGATGGGGGAAGGGAAGCCAAAGCAGCCTAGTTCAAGTACCGTATCTGATTTATTGGAACCATTTTAAATTAGCATTTTTTTAAAAAAATGGCATCTTTGATTTGAACACATTTTCCTTCCCACATTTGCTCTTCATTTTTTTTTTTTAATCTTCTGTTTCTCACCACATCTGATGGTCCAGCACTTGACTTTCATTAAAGGCATGCTTGCTTAGGGCAATTGGTAAACTTTTTTCCTTTGTGGAACCCTGTGTCAGAGGTAAATTCAGAGGTAAATACAGGAAAACCAGCACAAGAAAAGTCGCTAGTTATCTATAGTGGGAATCTCCCTTTTCCAGGTCTAGGACAAGTCGCCACGGCCAACTTGCCGTGGCCATCCAGCCACAGGACAACCCAGTGCAGGACAATTCATCAATGCAATTTAATTATTTAAAATGGTTTTTAAAAAAAAGATTTTAATTTTTGCCGTTCACATTTCGTTTGTCTCTCCTTCGGCATCCTCTCTTTGATGATTCTGTTCAACCGTTGCTTCGATATTAGTGTAACTCTTCTCCCATGGCAGGTTGTCAGGCTGAATTGTCCCATGGCCAGTTGGCCGCAGCAAGTTGGCTGTGGTGAGTTATCCTATTCCCCCCCCCTTTGCCTCCCCCATCTCCTCAAACGTACCCATCGCTTTTCTTTCGGAAATCCCAACTTCAGTAGAGAAAAATCTCTTGGAATAAACCGTTAGGTCGGTTTTGGTGAATGTGATTCAGGGATCTCCGTTCATCCAAAAACATCATTCTTGGGAGCTAATCCAGCTGGCTGCGGCTATTCCTTATGAGTTTAACCCTGTTTGACTTGCATCAGCATTACACCTAAGGCAGGGATAGGCAACCTTGGCTCTTTGATGACTCGTGGACTTCAACTACCAGAATTCCTGAGCCAGCCATGCTGAGGGGAAAGGGAGAGGTTTCCATGCTGAGCCATGCTGGCTCAGGAATTCTGGGAGTTGAAGTCCACGAGTCATGAAGGGGCCAAAGTTTCCCTCATGCTGGCTCAGGAATTCTGGGAGTTGAAGTCCACGAGTCATGAAGGGCCAAAGTTTCCCTCATGCTGGCTCAGGAATTCTGGGAGTTGAAGTCCACGAGTCATAAAAGAGCCAAGGTTGCCTACCCCTGACCTAAGGGATTTATATGGTTCGTCTGAACCACAAACAGCAGTCACGATCGTAACGTAAATGGAGAAGGACTACTTTGCCCTTCTTACCACATCCAACACATCCCCATAAGCTGTGCTACAGTGTCTCCATGATAAGAGCCCCAGCACAAGATATATCTGCCTTGTATACATACATGAGGGCCTCCTGCATTCAGGTCCAACCTGAATGAATGAACACTGTGACATCTAGGGAGAATAATTTATGTAGAATTCCGAATACACAACCGAGCATTTCTCCTCTTGTCCAGATGTACCATGTATATGCCTGTTC